TTGTCTTTTGCTCGGCTTATTTGGACAAGCAAAGGTTTTCTTCCATAATGGCAACACATAACAAAGTTTAGTCTCTTCCCATATTATTGGCTTGATATACATCACTAAATATCAATGAAAATTTACTTAAATGGTGCGTAGAGCTGACAGATATTTAAAGTCCACATGGATTAACGCTGTCTGCTTTAGGTCATTATTATTTATGATTGGTGTAAAACTCTTATGTGTTCTGTTGAAAGTGGAGAGGTCTCCTAAGTTGCAACAATAATCTTGTTATTCAGCGCAAGTGGTAAGGTATTATGATTTAAAATGACATAGGCGTTCTTACAAGCAGAGCAGGTTGAATTTCCAATGTTAGACATTGCAGAACACGTTGAATCTCAGATGTTAGTCATTCCAGTGCACTTAGAATTTTTAGCAGTTTGAATATTTGCCTTTGTAAGGGCAGAGTAGGCACAAAATAAATAAAAGTTAGATATGAATTATAAACAAATTAAACTTTTAAATGTCAATAAATGAAATTGTAGCAAATTTTCTTTAAGTTTGTAATAAATTGCATTGATTAGTCCAGGATCTAGTAATATTGAAGCCAAATTTCTTTGAGGTACTGTGTTTAAACATCATTAAAATAAAGTTTTGTCTTAGATGGCATACCAGCAAAGAAATTTATTTCAGGAACGGATGTCAACATCATCAAAAATTGTTTGTCTTACCTGACATTCTAGAAAAGAATCATAGAAATAGTGAAAAAAAATATAGGTAAATAAATACATAAGAAAACATTTGAAATTTGAATAAACGGGTACTTATCGTATCTACATTTAGGTGTCAGAGGTGTGCATATAAGAATTTGAAACAGAGACTCTTGTCAAAATAAGCAAGTTCACTTATTTATTACCTGATTCCCCTCCTCAAGACGAAGTTGCAATAGAGCTATTTAATATATACTCTAACCTTAAGGCTAGAAAGAAAAACCGTGAACTGTATTATTATTATTATTATTATTATTATTATTATTATTATTATTATTATTATTATTATTATTATTATTAGTAGTAGTAGTAGTAGTAGTAGTAGTAGTAGTATTTGTGTGCGCGTGTTTGTGTGTGATTTGGATTCTTAACGGAACTTTAACAATATTTTGTCATTCATATCTCTATGATGTCTGCAGAGTGACAGTTAATAGTGATGTCTATCACTGGGGCATCATGCCGCAAACATGTAGCATAATGTACAACCCAGTCACATTATCCTTACACCAGGCCGACCAGTTCTAACACTAATCTTTCAATGCTGAGTGCCTAGCGCGGTAGCTGCTGGTACCATTTTTTAAAAAAAAATTCTCCGGTATGATTAGGCCGGTGTTCGAATCTGCGACCTCCCGTATCAGAAGCGGACTCTCTAACCATTAGGTCAACGAAGCGGTTTATTTGTTTGTAAATATTCTGTTCATATCAATAAATATAATCTACATCATTGTTGACTACACCTCAGGCAGTTAAATGATATAATTGATTTGAAGAAAAAAAAATACTGTCGCTAAAATTGGGCCAATTGCGTTTGTGAATTGAATACTCCACATAGTGAAGCAATGTTATAGTCCGTATCGTAAAGTGCCAATCCCACCATAATGTGATAGACTCAAGTACACAAATATTGCATTTCTTGGTCCACATCAAGTAGATCGGTCATCAAACAACACAACAGCTTTTCATGAATTTTGTATTCAAAGAAATGAACAGAGGATGAAATCTTTATATATTTAAAAATTGAAATCTATAATTGCAATTTTTATTTGTTGAGCATTTTTGGGGCGTGGGCGGGTGGGTGCAGATTGGTTGTGGTGTGGGCAGTCACTATAAGTCTCATACAAAGAGTAAATAAAAGGTTTCATAACAATAACACAATACCTATATGAGACGTGCGCTGTCGGTCTTGCTACAGTTACAATATCATCGGCTTTGTCAATTGATCGAAACTGTTGGAAATGCAAGTTTGATGTGCGGTTCGATCTATGAACATTAAAATGCTTTTAGCACATTAGATTTATTTTCTATGCAAATTTCAGGTGAAGGCCGTCTTAGTGACAATGGAAGCTTTTGATTGGCTGATACTTTTTCATGAAATTTCGGCTAACTTTAAGAGAGAGAGAGAGAGAGAGAGAGAGAGAGAGAGAGAGAGAGAGAGAGAGAGAGAGAGAGAGAGAGAGAGAGAGAGAGAGAGAGAGAGAGAGAGAGAGAGAGAGAGAGAACATATATTTTGCTTGAAATATTCCACAAACGATATTGGATACAGATAATATCTCCATTTCTCGGTTCAAAGCCACAATACCCCCCCAACAAAACATTTAAGGATTTTCGAAAAATCATATTACAAGCATACAAAAGTGTTATTGATACTGAAGACGTATAGAGAAAACATATACATTTTTAAAGCCAAACTATCTGAACAAATTTATTTCCGTTTTTATTTTAAACAAAGAAATGAAAAAGATAAGCGAATTAATTTGATATCAGCCAAAAGGGGTTCCGTTTACGACCTTTTCATGAAAAATCTGTAAAAAGATTTTGACATTCTTTATCCACTACAGCTTCAAAACAAGGTCATCTCTCGTACCTAATTATTTGTTGCATGAATCGTAAAATAAACCAGGTTGAAAAAGTACATCCTTTGTGGCAGGGATGTAAATCTGACGAATAGAAGGTCTGTGAAAATGAAACATAATTTTAAATTCTTTCTTGGTGACGTTTGATTACATGGAAACAATCCAATTACAGTACAGCAGCAAGGCATCTCTGATCATATTATAGTAAACGTTGGACCACCAGTCAGTCTTGAAGCAGTAACCCAGATGACCTTACATCTTGACTATGTATACATTGTATAGGCGTTGTCTGCCTCCGTTGTTTGTGGTTGTAATGCCCTTTGTAAGTGTAGATCAAACAAGAAACAAAACTGACAAAAATCACCAAGATAAATAGAAAAGAAGACATACTGATAGAAATAAATGCCAGGTTAAGTTAGATAAATGCTTGATTTGATCGAGATAATTCTCTAACAACCTCCGCTTATGAGCTCGGTCATGAATCTTATAATTTCAGATCTTTTGTAGTAGAACAATACACAATCTTTAAATATCTAGATTTCCGAATATTTTATTTATTCCAAAGTGTATATTGTGTAGACATTTCATTTGTTGAATCTGAAAACCAATACATGCATTAATTACAGTCGAATAGTATCTTATGTACTTTTGGAAGCCCTTATATTATACTTAATTCCCATGCCAGCCGTTAGAAGCCAAATTCGTACCTTATCCGGTTCTAATTCTGGCTTTGCTCTAGAATAATAAATAGGAATTGCCAAAATTCTTGTCGGATATGAAGTACAATCCTCCCGTTAAGGACATATCTCTTGCGTACTTAAAGGGATGGGCAAGTAACTATTGAAAACTAAGATCATGCATGAACAGATAAATAAGCATCCTATGAGTCAGTATGTCATGCACGAATAGGTAAATAAGCATTTCATGATATCGTATGTTATGCATGAATAGGTTAATAAGCATTAAATGATTTGGTATTGCATGCATGAATAAGTAAGTAAGCAATTATTTGATAAATTTGCCATGCATAAGTAAATAAGCATTTTTAAATATGGTTTGCCATGCGTAAATAGGTAAATAAGTATTAAATAATATGGTATATCATGCGTAAATAGGTAAAGGTGCATTCTATGATTTGGTATGCCATGCGTAAATAGGTAATTAAGCATTTTATATGGTTTGTCATGCTTAAATAGGCAAATAAGCACATAATGCTTATCTTATTGTACTTAATATAAACTGCATCATGCCTGACAATGTATCGTTCTGCTTTCGTAAATGCACAAAAAGACGTGTTAAAGCTTTTCTGAAAATGAAACTAAAGTTGCATGATAATAGAAATCTAGAAGATTCAGATCTATAACACAGATGAGTTTGTTTGTTTGATGTGTTTGAATGCTATGAACTTGAGATAAAGATATTTGCAAATTTCAGACCTCGATAGGCAATTTCAATTCAAAACCTTAAGACGTCACGATTGTATATATATATATATATATATATATATATATATATATATATATATATATATATATATATATATATAAAATGGGATACAACTTGCTAGTAATTTGTTATGAACTTGCTGGTAATTTGTTTTGAAATATTTCAAGCAGAATTTTGTTCTCTTTGATAAGTCGGACTTTATTATTTCCTTGGCAGAGAGAGAGAGAGAGAGAGAGAGAGAGAGAGAGAGAGAGAGAGAGAGAGAGAGAGAGAGAGAGAGAGAGAGAGAGAGAGAGAGAGAGAGAGAGAGAGAGAGAGAGAGAGAGAGAGAGAGAGTAAACTGTTTTTGAATAAAAATGCTTTGGAGAGATATCCATACCGTATCTTCTTAAAAAACATATGATCTCTTCATATTAGTTGTTCGTATCTATAGTGATAGGCTTTATTTAATCCTATGATTCAACAAGGAAATTGATATTAGGCACTTAACTCTTGATTCAGGATCAATTTAACAAATACATCGACATGCATTAGTTAAAATAAGTTAAAATGAACACAGGGTATACCGACTATTCGTTGACTTACGTATTCCTTTATTAGTATTGAAGCCATCAACATATACTAAGCCATTGCTATGATGGAAAGAAAAGCATACTGGTGTATTTGACAAATAAAATTTTGCCTTTTCTAAACTAATTCAAGGTATAATAATAATACTTTTCCTGAAGGAATAAAAATAAATTTGGCAGTAGATTTGTTCTCATTTAAAGAAGAGCTGTATATATGAATTTCGGAGCCCAAGAAGGTTTTTCAGACATCACTACAAAATAAATATAAATGCTTTCTGGATTTCAAATTATTTAAAGAAAACAATAACATGCAAAAGCCAACATAATACTAAATATTGATCGTATAAAGCATGCATTTTATATTTGACAATTCATTTTACGACGGTGGTCTAGTGGTTACAGCGTCCGCCTCGAAAGCGGTAGGTCGTGGGTTCAATCTCCGATCGAGTCAGAAATAAAAACGCTTTCTGGACTTCAAATTGAAAAAAAAAAACAATAACGCGCAAAAGCCAACATAAGAGTAAGTATTGATCGCATAAAGCATGTATTTTATAGTTGATAATTCATTGTACGACGGTGGCCTAGTGGTTAGAGCGGCCGCCTCGAATGCGGGAGAACGTGGGTTCAGTCATACCAAAGACTTACAAAAATTGTATTAACAGCTGCCTCGCTGGACTCTCAGCATTAAAAGGTTAGTATTAAGACTGATCGGCCTGGTGTCAGGATAATGTGACTGGGTGGGACATCATGCTACACGTCTGCGGCATGATGCCCCAGTGCTAGACATCACTATAAACTGCCACACCGCATACATCGTAGCGATATAACTGAAAAATTGTTAAAGCTACGTTAAAATCATACTCACATCACATTTTATGACTCGTGGTAAAATAATCTGAGGTGATGGTAGCTTTTACAATAACATTTCGTTTCGATACAAAACCTTTCTTTGTAAAATAAGAGTCGTGTCAGTTCTAACATTTTTGTTTACTAAAATGACTATTTTATTATTTTCCCTAAAATAATGATCTGTTAAACCCCCTGTACCTGACAACATTAAGAAAATATATCTACCTTTGTAATGGTACTCATGGCGTTTTGTAAACGTTTGATTCCATTTCCACGTAAAGGCTGTTGCTGTATGTTTATACAGGTTACCGTAACCTTTGATTTGTGTTCGTTTCAAAACCACATACCATGAGAGATGTCTCTGTGAAGTAATTGTAAACCTATCGAGAGGGCCATGCTGGAAAACTACATAGAGTTTGTGTAAAAAATAAGGTTAGGTTGCTGAGCCCCCACCCCCTTTATTTCTTCAATTAAATATAGTCACTATGGTCCAATCTACTGGTTAATTGAATATGTTAGATTTCTTGTTATACGTACTTTAGATACAATTATTAATGTCTTAATTAAAGTGATAACATTCACATTTTCTTTGTTGTAGTACAATAACGTCTAATTATTAGCCAGACAAATAACCTAGAAAAACAATTTTTTTTTCGAACTTTAGACATTTTTGCTGAAAAGTAAAATAGGAACAAACCCTTTTATAAACATTCTTGTCTGTTGTTTTAATGAAATTCGGAGAAATATATCACAGCATTACGTATAAAGTACAATTGCTAACATAAGTGGCAGAGTTTAATGATACCTTTATGGTACTGATAATATATTATACTGCTAATGTTCCTTGATTATATAAAAGATTGAATGAGGATATACGAAAAACAAAACCATTTGTATAATATATTTGCAAAAATTAGGCACATTGATATTTATCATACTGAATTTATCCGGTCTTGGTAAGATCTCCCCATTTTTTCAGATAAAATACTAGCTATTAGGCTGCGATATTAGCCTCTGTACGTAGAGAATGCAAATGATTAGTTTCACATTGACCGCTACAAAATGTAGGGTCTAAATCGAACAAGTGATGCGCGATTCTCCTGGATGCGTTTAATATTCTTCTTAAATTTATTCATGTTGTTGAAAAGCTTACACTAACAGTTTCTAAAATATCTTACGTTGTCACATGCTCGTATAATAGTTTAGAAAGATGGTTAACTTGTAGCTGGTGTTCGCCATTTAATCCAGAATTAATCAGGATAGAAAGGATTTTTTTTACCTTTAAGGAACGGTAATAATGCTAAAAATACTTCAAAATCTTTTTAATTCTATCTGTTTTACTGAAATAGTTTGAATATATTATTCCAAATATATGGAGGTAAGATTTTCAAAAAATCTATTTTTCAGTTGCCGTACATAATCCAAGGAAATACATCTTGGTTAACAACCACTGGCATTTCCATTCAAGCTAATAAAATCAAGGACATGCTGAAACTTCAGAATAAATCTCTTTTTTATTACTTCAAGACTGTGAGAATATCGATTCTAATTCCAAATGCTATCTTCAAACCGCGATTCCACTATCAATATTCAAATTGACAAATATGACCTCAAACAAAGACATACATAATACACGATTTTAATTGCCTCCTGCTGCATGCTAAGTTTGGTTTGTGAATTTGATTGATTTTCATGAACGGCTGCAAACAGATCTAAATGTTTTGACTGGAAACATGACATCCAAATGCCATATTTTCAATGATATTCTGCATGTGTAGTGTACAACTATACCAAGTATTGTAAATTTTGACTGGTTAATTTCGTGTCACTAGACAAGCTTCTGAACTCAAAGTTGCTGATCATCATTTTATCTTACATATATTAGTTAGATGAATTTATTATCATTTGCCTAACAAATAAAAAATGTAAGGTATAATAAAATCAAAACAATTATCATCTTAATTGTTTTAAATGTTTATTTATCTGATAAATGTTTTGCTACTGTCAAGAGCATATTAACTGAAAAAAAATCTCATTTTGTGACCTGTTCCTTAGGGAATCCGAGACAATACCTTTTATCTTCAGGACAACAGAAAAAGATGACACGTCTAATAATCTAATTAGTAAGGATTTCAATTTTGAAATAAGAAGTATTAGTGGAAAACAAAAATAGAATAAGGGAGGTGTTCTTTTAACTCATTCATTTCTATTTAGGCTCCTTAAAAAGTATATGTGTAGGTAGATGGGATGTAGTAGTCTGGGAATGGACCATAACGTTAGACGGTAGCTTGCTTTGATATTTACGTGGAACAAACTGCCTTTAAGTTATAACTGCATGAAGGACAGTGAGCTAGTTATAATGATTTTTAAGACACTCGTCAAGTTCGAGTCTAATCAGCTAATACAGTCATGCAAATTACTGTCAGTCAATTTGTCTTAATGAATGCCAAACCCGTGATTGGACGGACGTGTGTCTTAAAAAAAATTACTAGCAACCATTGAAGGTGCAGAAGGTTTGTAATTATCCCTAAGTTTTCACTTTAAAGGCAGATATTAGTCCCACACAAAATACCATGATACAAGAAAGGAATCTGGTACCAAGTCAGCCTCTGAGTCCCTCATCAAATTATTTTGTATATTAATGTCATATAAGAATAATTAATAATAGATTTATTCCTGCAGAGTAATAAAGTCCACTACCTTCGGACATTTTTCTGAGAAAGAAAAAGAGTAAAATGAGCACCAAAGTGATTTTCAAAAAACCCATCAATTTGTCATAGAAAGGAAAATAATATTTATTTTATATGAAAGCTTAACGAATGAAAATCTTTAAAACGGATAGGATGTGAATAAACAATCTTACCTGTATCTGTCTCATTAATAAAGAAATATTATACTCAAATTCAAGTTAAACCTTCAAAAGGCATACAAGGAAACGTTATGAATTTGTTATTTGTAATTAGCATTTCTACTGGGAAAATTACTTCAATTAAAGAACTGTTTATTTATCTACTACTACTACTACTACTACATAAACTAGCAATAGTAATATGGACTTAGTACAGCGCCTAATCATTAGAAGCTCTAAGCTTTTTACATCATATAACACATAACAACATATAGCTTGACAAGATTACCAAAACACCTAACATACATGCAATTACAAAACAAAACATGCTGATAATGATTTAGAAAGTAAATATTAAGTCTTAAAGTCTGTTATGGTCAAATTAGATGAGTTTTAGCATTTTTATTGACATCACTGTGTCCTTGTTTCTAAAAACGAATAGGCAATTCTTTCCACGTTGCAGGGCTCTAGTACGCCAAAGAACGTTGTCCGTTTGGCTTCGTTTTTACTTTGTGAACAAGAGTACGAGTGTTAGAAGAGGAGTGATAGTTTCTAGATGGGATGTACACATGGGTGTGGTAAGATGGGTGTATCGGACTGGAGCCCGTCAACAGACTGTAGAATTGTGAACTGATTTTAAATTTGATTATGGATTGTACGTGTAGCCAGTCGAGGCTACAGAGCAGGGGTTTGCGTTCTCAGTTTTTCATTCTCTAAGGACAATCCAAGAAGCGGTGTTTCAACTTTATGAAGGTTTTGAAATAGATGCCGAAACGAACTAGATAGAAGTGAATTAAAATAGTCCAGATTTTGAAACTACTAAGAAATACACACATAAGTGTTTTTAATGGCATTAACCGAAAGACAATTGCTGATGGAGCTTGTGCGTCGGAGTTCCTGATATACAGTTCAAGATAAGTCAGTAAAATGAAAGAGTACTGTCTAGAGTCACACCTAGTTTTCGTACTGACTTTGAATTTAATGTTGGTATTGCTGATACAAATTGTTTAACGTAAAGGATGTAAATGAGAAACTCCTTGTTTGGTGATAAGAATGACTAAAGTTTCATGACCTTTCATCATCCATGACTTCAATTCGGAAATGAACATCTCTACACGCCTGGGATGGTACCCTAAACTTCTTTTGGGCATCTAGATTGATATATATATATGTATGTATGTATGTATGTATGTATGTATGTATGTATGTATGTATGTATGTATGTATGTATGTATGTATGTATGTATGTATGTATGTATGTATGTATGTATGTATGTATGTATGTATGTATGTATGTATGTATGTATGTATGTATGTATGCATGCATGCATGCATGCATGCATGCATGCATGCATGTATGTATGTGTGTGTGTGTGTGTGTGTGTGTGTGTGTGTGACATCATTATAGAACTGGTGAGACTTAGAATGTCGATCTATGACACTTGAGAGCGGCTAACTGTATAGAATGTAGAGAACAGGACCGAAATCACAGCCTTGTGGAACACCTAAAATACAGATAAATTGGGATGAATGTTTTCCATTTAGAACACAGTTTGTGACCTGTTGACTATGTAGGACTTAAACCATAGTAAGGATGAATCCTGAATACTAAATACATCCTGGAGATTATGAAGTTAGATATAATTGTCGATTTTGTCTAGTGCTGAAGACACGTCAAGTAGGGTTAGGACTGTAATCTTTCCACTATCCAAAGCAGACTAAAAGTCATTAACAATTCTCAGAAAGGCAGTTTC